TTAAAGCAGGGAGTAGCAGGCTGGTGCTGGAAAGAAAGAGATCATAGAATCATGGACTGGTTTGGGTTGGATGCAACCATCTTGATCCCATTGGGATGACTGTGTTCATCTCTAGGGCCCCCAACACAGAGCGGTACCTCCAGTGGTACCTCTTTGGAAGGATGAAGGCTGGGACAACACAGACCTTCCCCTCCCAGCAGAGCAATAGGTTGATGATTCTCCATCCTACTGCTCACCATCTCCTCCTAGAGCAGATGATGAGCTCCAGGGGCAAACACTAAGGGAGCCACCATGTCCACACGACCCCGAAGCACTTCTTGCCTTTGGGAGAGCACCAGGATTGACAGCAGGAATGAGAACCCTGGAATGGGATGGGTTGGAAGGGACCTCAAGGCTCATCCAGCTCCATGGGCAGGGACACCTTTATCCTGACAGGAGCCTTGTCCTGTCCCTGCATCCTTCATCCCAAGCGCAGGGTTCATTTCAGCTGTCTTCCCATGTTCATCAACCCAATCTGGGCATCGATTGGGCTCTTTTCTGGACAGTACAAGGAAAAGATGGATTTTTGGTGGATCTCCAGGCTTTTTGGAGCCTTTCCTTTACGATGAGGTGGAGGTTTTGTAGGCAGCACCGTGTTTCTGAGGCTCTCTGGTCACCTTCCACCCTCCTGCAGCAGTTACAGATCCCTTTAACCCAACAGCAATAAGGTATGCACTGCCTTGGACCATCCTCAATGGGATAGATAAAGAGGTCACCACACTGCTCAGTGCTATGGTGAGGTAGGTCCGAGTCTCTTTGGCCACCAGAGCTTGCAGCAGGCTTCTCTGCCACCCATCAAGGAGCTTCTTTGGGTCAATACAATGAATAACAATGGTAAATTCATGGCCAAGGCTTCATCTGGTACCCAGATGAGCTGTGCTGAACCTGTTGCATCATTGTGTTGCCTCTTATCCCCACTGATAGCCGTGTTCCTGGGGGATTCTGTGGGTGGGCCTTATTTTGGGGCAAAAACTCAGGAATTAAGCCCTCAGGTTTGTCCTGGAGGATTTGGGGTTTGACTTTGAGGCAGGTGAATCTGGGGTTTGGGTGTCTGATGGAAGATTGTTGCTGGTCTCCGTTTCTGGTGCCCAGCACAGGGCTGGGGAAGGTGGCCCTTGGCTACTGATGCTCTGCACAGGGAGGGTGAGCACCAAATTCCCTCTCCAACAGCAGGGAAGTGGTGATGCAGGCAGAGAACCTGTACCCAGACACTGCCCGGTGTTATGGGGCTGGTAATTCACAGTGGAAAAGGGGAAAGGAAGGCATGGAGGACGTTTTCCTTTGAGGTGCTGCAGGACTTTACCTTGACTGGTTTCTGGCCCAGAATGGTCCAGTTCTTGTGTGGTCCAAACAGACTTTGATCTTCTTTAAGCTCCATGGGGCTATCTTTATCCTATCCCATCTTATCCTACCCTACTCTTTCCTATCCTATCCTGTCCTATCCATCCTATCCTATCCTGTCCTGTCCCTGTCCTATCCTCTCCTTTCCTGTCCTGTCCTACCCCATCCTATCCTACCCTTTCCTATCTTATCTTACCCTATCCTATCCTACCCTTTCCTATCTTATCCTATCCTATCCTATCCTATCCTATCCTATCCTATCCTGTCCTGTCCTGTCCTATCATGTCCTATCCTGTCCTGTCCTATCCTTTCTGATCCTATGCTATCCTTTCCTGTCCTGTCCTACCCTATCCTATCCATCCCATCTTATCATACTCTACCTTATCCTATCCTATCCATCCTATCCTGTCTCCATCACATCCTATCCTATCCATCCTATCCTATCTATCCCATCGCATCCTATCCTACCCTATCCTATCCTATCTATCCCATTGCATCCTATCCTACCCTATCCTATCCATCCTATCCTATCTATCCCATCGCATCCTATCCTACCCTATCCTATCCATCCTATCCTATCTATCCCATTGCATCCTATCCTACCCTATCCTATCCATCCTATCCTATCTATCCCATTGCATCCTATCCCACCCTACCCTATCCTATCCATCCCATCCCATCTTATCCTACCCTATCCTATCCATCCTATCCTATCTATCCCATCGCATCCTACCCTACCCTATCCTATCCTATCCTGTCCCATCCCATCTCTCTCTGGTTCTGCTTCCTTGTGTTGTCTCTGCAGTTTGAGCTCTCATTTCACCATGGAGGAGCCCTGGTTGGGGACTTTTTCTTCCTCCCCCATGCAGACAGCCCAGTATGTTCCAATAGGAAGACCCAGAGCCCTGCAGCAGCATCTGCCCTGGACCCCATGGAGGCTCTTTCAAACCAGGGTGGTCAAAGACAAGCATTAAAACCTGGAGCTGAGCATTGACGTTAACCTAAGGCCGGAACCACGTCAATGGGTTGGTTTCATCACGCTCAGACCCAAGGGAAAGCCTTGGTTGGAAGCCTGGAGAATGGATTGAACCGTGTGGAGCTGGAGCTGGAGCTGGCCCCGAGCTCTGCTGTCTCATTGCATTAAGCTGCTCACTTGCTCTGTGTTGTGCAGGGTGACGTGAGCACGGTGTGGGATTTACCCTTCTCTGACTGCTTTTGGTCTCTGTTCTGCAAGGAGAGGCTCAACCACGGCTTTTCTTTCTATGCAAGAATGGAATCATAGAATCATGGAATGGGTTGGGCTGGAAGGGACCTTAAAGCTCATCCAGTTCAATGTACAGGGACCCCTTCCACTGGAGCAGGGTGCTCCAAGCCCCTGTGTCCAACCTGGCCTTGAGCACTGCCAGGGATGGGGCAGCCACAGCTTCTCTGGGCACCCTGTGCCAGCGCCTCAGCACCCTCACAGGGAAGAGCTTCTGCCTAAGAGCTCAGCTCAGTCTCCCCTCGGGCAGGTTCAAGCCATTCCCCTTGCCCTGTCCCTACAGGCCCTTGTCTCAAGCCCCTCTCCAGGTTTCCCGCAGCCCCTTCAGGCACTGGAGCTGCTCTAAGGTCTCCCCTTCCTGCAGCAGAGGGGCAGGATCCCCTCCCTGAGCTGCTGCTCACTCTCTGAGGGTGCAGCCCAGCACAGGGGGGGGTTCTGGGCTCAAGCACTCACTGAAGCTGGGTCATGGGGAGCTTCTCATCAACCATCACTCCAAGTCCTTCTCCTCAGGGCTGCTCCATCCACCCATCCATCCATCCATCCATCCACCCATCCATTCATCCATCCATCCACCCATCCATCCATCCATCCATCCATCCATCCATCCATCCATCCATCCATCCATCCACCCATCCATCCATCCATCCATCCATCCATCCATCCATCCACCCACCCATCCATCCATCCATCCATCCATCCATTTATTCATCCTTCCTTCCTTCCTTCCATCCATCCACCCTCCCAGCTAACCATTCCCCTTGTCCTGTCCCTACAGGCCCTTGTCCCAAGCCCCTCTCCATGTCCCCTCCAGCCCCTTTAGGCACTGGAGCTGCTCTCAGGCCTCCCCTTCAAGCAGCAGAGGGGCAGGATGCCCTCCCTGAGCTGCTGCTCACGATGCAGGGCATCAGCCCTGCACTAAGCAAGGATTCCACCCTTTCAGCCTGGTTTTCACAGCTCTGGCACGTGGGAAGCTCCTGTTCCCCGCTCCAGTCCTGTTGAAGATGCTCTGAACCATCTCCAGGGCTTGGGGCCAGGTCATTGCCCCCTGAGGACTTCTCATCTTGGAACGCTTGAGTGAATTGGGCATTCCTGAAAGGCCCAGGGCATCCAGGCTGGGATCTATCACTTGTCTGACTCATGGAAGTGTCACATTTAAATGCCACCTCGCTCAAGAAGCTCCACTTAGCACGCTGGGGGCTCATCTTGCCTTCTCTATTTCTGTACCTCTCTGAACAGCCTTGGAAATGCAGGCTAGGACGGATTCCAAGTGAAAAAAACCTTCTTTAATATGAGCATCCCTTGTATTTTCCTCCATAAATCGACAGGAAAATGAAGGATTTGAGTAAGATTTGGCTGCCTGAAAGCCTGGGGCATCCCCTGCGTTAGCAAAAGGTGTTGGGGGTAATCTGAAAAATGGGTTAAATGAGCTTTTCTTTGGCACTGCAACGCCTTTTAATCCTCTTTTGCATTTCTAAGCTCCATTTACTGCTTTGTGATTGCCATAACCCCATTGTGCTGCGTTTCTGAGCGAGCTGGCTCCGTGCGTTGGGTTCATGGGGCCTGGGCCTGAGCTCAGCAGGGGATGGGGTGATGGGAGGGAGGTTAAACCATGTTTCCTGCTCCATATGTTAGTGCTGAGCTCCATACTGTACATAGAGAGCGATGTGAGATCCACTCCTCATTTAATGAAGGTGCCCAGAGGGAATGCTCAGTGTGGAGCTGAGCTCCTTCTCCCAGGATCCAGTGATGGGACACATAGGGATGGTTCAGACCTGCACCGGGGGAGCTTTAGGCTGGATACTGGGAAGCATTTCTTTACCTGAAGGATGGTCAAACAATGGAGCAAGGCCAGAGGAGGCCATGGAGATGCTGCAAGGGCTGGAGCAGCTCTGCTCTGGAGCCAGGCTGAGAGAGCTGGGCTGGGGCAGCCTGGAGAAGAGAAGGCTCCTGAAGGGGAGACCTTAGAGCAGCTCCACTGCCTAAAGGGGCTGCAGGAAACCTGGAGAGGGGCTTGGGATGAGGGATGCAGGGATGCGATGAGGAGGAATGGCTCCAGCTGGGAGAGGGAGGATTTGGATGGGATCTTGGGATGAAGTTCATCACCATGAGGGTGGTGGGACACTGGAAGGGGTTGAATGGAGAAGCTGTGGCTGCCCCATCCCTGGCAGCGTTCAAGGCCAGGTTGGACACAAGGTCTTGGAGCACCCTGCTCTAGTGGAAAGGGTCCCTGCCATTGGAGCTGGAGGAGCTTTAAGGTCCCTCCATCCCGAACCATTCCCCGATCCCATGGGTAGGGTTGGAAATCACCTTCAAGCCCCCGTGGCTCAAGCCCCTTTTCTGTGTCTCCTCTTCCCCTCAGGCTGGAATGGGTGGAAATCATCGAGCCTCGCACGCGGGAGCGCATGTACGCCAACCTCATCACGGGGGAGTGCGTGTGGGACCCCCCCGCCGGCGTGCGCATCAAGCGCACCAATGAGAACCAATGGTGGGAGCTCTTCGACCCCAACACCTCCCGCTTCTACTACTACAACGCCACCACGCAGAGGACCGTGTGGCACCGGCCCCAGAACTGCGACATCATCCCCTTGGCCAAGCTGCAGACCCTGAAGCAGAACACGGAGTCACCCCGGGCTTCCACGGAGAACAGCCCCGGCAGGAGCAGCAATGTCAGCAGGGAAGGGAGCACCAGCTCCTCCTTGGAGCAGGAGCTGGAGGGCAGCGAGAAGGGGCAGGAGCAGAGGTCGGGCCGTCAGGCACCGCAGTATGCTGTAGTGAAAGAGGAAACGGAAAGGTAAAGGCAAGGTGGGGGGCGTGGGATGGAGCTCGGTGGTGGGGTGGTGGAAGCCAAGTGGGAGCTGAGGCACCCCCGTTGTGTCCAAGGGGTGTGGAAGAGCAGAAACCTGAAGGACCAGAGCTCTGCTGTTGTGGAGAGCATTCTATGGATGAGGAGAAACTGAGCATGAGCCGGCTTCAGTGTGCGCTCGCAGCCCAGAAAGCAACCGTATCCTGGGCTGCATCCAAAGGAGTGTGACCAGCAGGGCGAAGGAGGTGATCCTGCCCCTTTATTCTGCTCTCGTGAGACCTCACTTGGAGTATTGTGTGCAGTTCTGGTGTCCTCAACATAAAAAGGACATGGAGCTGTTGGAACAAGTGCAGAGGAGGCCACGAGGATGATCAGGGGCTGGAGCACCTCTTGTATGGAGATAGGCTGAGAAAGTTGGGGCTGTTCAGCCTGGAGAAGAGAAGCTGCGTGGAGACCTCAGAGCAGCCTTCCAGTGTCTGAAGGGGGCCTATAGGGATGCTGGGGATGGACTCTTCATTAGGGACTGTAGTGGTAGGACAAGGGGTAATGGGTTAAAACTGAAACAGGGGAAGTTTAGATTGGATATAAGGAGGAAATTCTTTCCTGTGAGGGTGGTGAGGCACTGGAATGGGTTGCCCAAGGAGGTTGTGAATGCTCCATCCCTGGCAGTGTTCAAGGCCAGGTTGGACACAGAGCCTTGGGTGATACGGTTTAGAGCGAGGTGTCCCTGCCCATGGCAGGGGGGTTGGAACTGGATGATCTTAGGGTCCTTTCCAACCCTAACTATTCTATGATTCTGTAGCTAGATTTCCCATGTGTCTCTGCACCAAGCCTTAAAGGTAGGTTTTCTGCTCTCTAAATAGAGTAGAAAGAGGTAAAACCATCTGTAGAAGGGGTTTCTCCTTGGTAGGTGTTCACTGCAGAAGGTCCAGTGGAGAAGCCACCCCTTGTCTCCCGGTTCTAGAGTGGTGTGGTCTGAAATGGTTTCCCTGGGTAGCATCTCCATGCAGTGACCATGGGTTGTCCCACTGGTATGTGGGGCTCATAGCAGAGGTGATTGCTCTTGTTAAGGAGATGAAGTTGTGGCTGCCCCATCCCTGGTAGTGCTTAAGGCCAGGTTGGACAGAGCTTGGAGCACCCTGCTCTAACAGAAGGTGTCCCTGCCCATGGCAGGGAGTTGGGACTGGATGAGCTTTAAGGTCCCTTCCAACCCAAACCAGGCTGGGGTTCTCTGAAGAACGAGTTAATGCTTCCTATGGTCCACCTGCACATGCACAACACCCTGAGACCTCTGCACTGGTGCTCTGTGTCACACTTGGATGCCTTCAGAGCTGTAAATGAGCCAGCTCATCACTTGATACCCGTATCCTCTGAAACACTGGCTCTTAGAGCATCGATGACCCAACAGAGACCCACCAGCACCACAACCCCTGCTGGCAACACGTTCTCCCCCCTCACAGAAACTGTGGCTCGGGTGATCTCATGGCCAAGCAGGATGAGAACAGGAACTCCCAGCTCAGCGAGTGCTTTCATGTGGGACCTCAGAGGCAGCTTCGCCTCCGTGTCTCGCCCAGCAGGGTTGGCTTGATCTTCCCTTGGAAGATGCTCTGATAAGGGTTGAGTGTGGGGATGGCAGCGTTCCTTGCTGGGGAGGTGGTGCTGGAAGAAGTGGAGGGGTGGGATGGATGGTGCATGGTGGCCAGGTCTACCCAGGTCCCTTCAGGACACCCTAGTGGTGGTTTAAGCCAGTCTTTGCTCCAGCAGAGGACATGGCTGGTGGAGCAGGACCTTGTTCCTGTTGCCCTGTGAAGGGTTAACAGGGATCCAGCCAATGGGTTTTCATCTCCTTGGGGTTTTGCTGCAGGATCAGCATCTTCCTGTCAGAGCATCATTCCCCATTGCCTTCCACACTGGACCGCTGCACATCCTCATCCTTCATGTCCATCACCTCCATCTTCTCTTTCCTTTTCCATGCAGGTGTTTTGTGGGATGCAAAGGAGGAGGGAGGATGGCTCCAGGGGTCTCAGATAGAAAGGTTTAACCCCTGGATACCTTGTGCTAGAGGAGAAGAGGAAACCAGCCATGGATCAGCATCTTCCTGTTAGAGCATCATTCCCCATTGCCTTCCACACTGGACCGCAGAAGCCGGTGTGGACACTGCACATCCTCATCCTTCATGTCCATCACCTCCATCTTCTCTTTCCTTTTCCATGCAGGTGTTTTGTGGGATGCAAAGGAGGAGGGAGGATGGCTCCAGGGGTCTCAGATAGAAAGGTTTAACCCCTGGATACCTTGTGCTAGAGGAGAAGAGGAAACCAGCCATGGGGTAGAGTCACTCCTGGCTGCTGGAGGGTTCTGTGTCCATTCAGCCCCAGTAATTCATAGTCTTGGCCTTGCTGGGGGTGGCATAAAGCAGATTCCAGGTCTTCCAGGATTGAAAGTAGCATTGAGACAATAAATCAACCAGATGCCAATAGATAGAGCAGAAATTCCCACTCACTGCCCCGTTTCCATCCGCATCCCTGGTGGAGACACAATGGTCCTGCTCCTTCAGCTTAGCCAAACCGTGACACCCTTCCACACACTAAAGTCTCTTTACCCCCCATATCCTGGCTGGAAAATCACATTCCTACCTTAATTTCTCCTGTGGAAAGCCTTGGGAGCTTTGCTGAGGCCTCTCTGTCAATGGGACATGTTAAAGGAGAGAATACCAAACACCAAGGAACAGTTGGGAGGGTTGAGGATGCTGCAGCGTGGTCTGCTGTGGGTCCTCTTGCCATGATGGGGATCTACCTGCAAAACCACCCTTATCCCCACCAGGAAAGGGATGGGTTTTGCTGTAGTGACTCCATGGAAGGGAAGGTGCTGTTGGGTAGAAAGGGGAGATGTGGTTGAACATGGTGGGGTTGGTACTTCCAGCTGGGAAGGGGTGGACAGGAAGCTGTAGAAACATAGAATCATAGAGTAGTTAGGGTTGGAAAGGGCCTTAAGATCATCACTGTAGTGCTGGCAAATGGTTAAATCCATGTGTAATGAATGTGGAAAGGGATGGGGATGCTGTGACGGAGGTGGTTTGGTCCAGCTCTGATTTCTATAGCGAAGCACAGAGGACAAGAGGCCTTGCTTCTGCTGACCTGCAGGAGAGCTGCTGGGGATGCTGAGATTGCATCTGATGCTCTGAAGCCCAGGGCAGACAAAGCTGAAACATGAGCTGTGCAAGTGAAACAGTGCTTTCTGGTTGTGATGACAGCAGTGAAGGGCAGAGACAGTTCAGATGCTGGTGCCTGGAGCTTCTCACCATGCAGGGTGTCCCTGTGCTTCAGGGATGCTTTCTGACCACAGGACATCCAATTCTATCCAATTGGCTGCTTCTATCTGTCCAAGTCTTAAAGCTTTGGAAAGATGCCTCAGGCAAAGAGCTCCTTCAGGCACTGGAGCTGCTCTGAGGTCTCCCCTTAAGGAGCCTTCTCCAGGCTCTCCCAGCCTGGCTTCAGCCCTCACAGCATCTCCATGGCCTCCTCCAGCCTTGCTCCATACACAACAATGGGAGCCCCATCCACATCAGCACGTGGACCTTTGGAGATGACTTGTGTGGACAATGCATTTCCAGTGCAGAACTCACAACATGTCACGATGCCAGTCCTGTTCCTCATTCCATTCGCTTCTGTGTTAGGGGAAAATGGCCATACCTTGCATTTCTTGCTCTGACCAGGGTGAAAGATGGAATCAGGGATGCAGCTCTCATCCCTGTGCCCTTCTCCTTGAATCCTCCGCTTTCTGCTGCAAAACAGGACTCAGGATCAGATGGATATTTGCCTAAGGATATAAGGATGGAATGTGACGTAGATCCTCCAACTGCCCTGCACAGAGCTCCAAAGAAGAACATCTCCCTCCCATCAGGAGCAAGGGCTGTAATTAAGGGTATGAAGCCTTCCAGGGCAGTGATTAGAGCAGGGGATTAGGAGCTGGGATTTCAGTTCTATTCCTGGCCTTGCCATTGAGCTGTGCTATTTCAGTCCAGTCCCCTTTCCCTTCGGTCTAAAAATAAATGGAATGCTGCTGGTGGAGCTGTTGTGAAATGGTGCCACTTCCTATCCCAGGGGGGAAAATACTGAATTTCCTGTTTTTTTTCCTTAAATTTAATAGATATTTGCTGCTCGGACAAAGGATCCCATGCTAAAAATGACAGGAACAAGGTTGTGTCTGTACTGGAACCTTTGGAATCCACAGTTTAAGGTGTTGATGGAGCATCACCTTTGCACGTCCTCCATCCCAGCTGGGAGAAGGTCCATGCTGGGAGAGGGTTCCCACTAGGAAGAAATGGAATTGTGCCTTTTGGAAGTGCTGGGTGAGGTGGGAGAGAGCTCCAGATGTGCTCCTGCCCCTTTCATGCTCTGGGGATGCTGTTGGTGCTCCTGATGCTTTCTGCTGGTTTGAGGTTCAGCTTGGAGCTGTTGGGTGTTAACGCTGATCTCAGGCCACCTTTAGACCTGGTGAGCGGTTTAAAGGTAGAAGCATGGAGTGGTTTGGGTTGGAAGGGGACTTAAAGCTCATCCAGTTCCACAGGCAGGGACCCCTTCCACTAGAGCAGGGTGCTCCAAGCCCCTGTGTCCAACCTGGCCTTGAGCACTGCCAGGGATGGGGCAGCCACAGCTTCTCCATTCAGCCTCTTCCAGTGTCCCACCACCTTCATGGGGAAGAAGATCCCATCAACTCTTCATCCCAAGGTCCCATCCAACTCTTCCCTCTTCCAGTTGGAGCCGTTCCTCCTCATCCCATCCCTGCATCCCTCATCCCAAGCCCCTCTCCTGCAGTCCCTTCAGGCACTGGAGCTGCTCTAAGGTCTCCTCTTCAGGAGCCTTCTCTTCTCCAGGCTGCCCCAGCCCAGCTCTCTCAGCCTGGCTCCAGAGCAGAGCTGCTCCAGCCCCTGCAGCATCTCCATGGCCTCCCTCCAGCAGCTCCATGCCCCTTTGGTGCTGAGGGCTCCAGAACTGCTCCTTTTTATGCTCCCAAAGTGTTGCATCAGGGATGGGAGCCCCTTGGGGTGCCTGTGCCCTGTGTGTGCCCAGATGAAGCTCTCCTCACCAAAGAGCAAACACTGGGAGCTGTTAGGAGCATCCCCTGTATCTCAGCAGCACAAGGAGCACCTCAAGCATCCGACTTCATGACTCCCATAGGTGGCATTTGTCAACAGGGTTTGGAGTCTGGCTCCACCATAATGAGGGTTGTCTGGGATCCCATTAATCAAATAAGGGATTAGGAGGAGTCCTGTGTTTGGGCAGATGATGGGGGTTGGTGCAGGAGGGTGCAAGCCAGAGAGGCCCCTCTTATGGCATTTGAATGACTTTGGTTTCCCCTTATTAAGCTGCCTTCATCCCCTTGGTCAAGGCAGCACTGGTGCAGGCAGCATGGACGGAGCTGCAGGAGCTCAGTGTGTGTGTTCTGGTCCAGCACCCGCTTTGTTGGTTGGTCTGGAATAGCTCCAGGGTCTCAAAGCCAGGATTGCTGAGGTGGGGAGATGTGGGGTTAGGAGACCCCTTCCCACTAAGGTAAGGTGACCATGGCAGGGGCTTGACACTGGGTGATCTCAGGTCCTTTCCGACCCAAACGAGTCTGTGATTTTAGGGTGATGTTTGGTGCCTCTCAAAGTAGACAAACACATCACAAGGCCTCTTTTTTCACTGGAATAAGCACTCAGGTTGGCATCTCTGGAGGAATAACCATTTAGGTTGCATTTAGCACAATGCAGACAGCGTTTTAGTTGGATTTATCTAATGCAAGCCGTAGGATCATGGAATGGTTTGGGTTGAAGGAACCTTGAAGCTCATCCAGTTCCAATACCCTTGGACCCCTTCCATTGGAGCAGGGTGCTCCAAGCCCCTGTGTCCAACCTGGCCTTGAGCACTGCCAGGGATGGGGCAGCCACAGCTTCTCTGGGCACCCTGTGCCAGCGCCTCAGCACCCTCACAGGGAAGAGCTTCTGCCTTAGAACCAACCTAAATCTGCCCTGTTCCAGGTTGACCCCATCACCCCTTGCCCTATCCCTTCTCTCCTGGTGAAGATACATGAGGATCTCTTGACACGTGTGCAGTGATTTCATCATCTCCATGAATATGAAGGTGCTCAGGACTGATCTGAATCGGGGTTTGGTGCCTCTGCATCTCCTTGACTGCTCCCCTCCAGAAGGGAAGGGCTCTTGGTTTGGTTTAGTTGAATTGACTCAAAGGACAAGTTCAGAACCTAAGTTACAGATAAGTTCAGTTTTAGAGGAAGATTTGGTGCTTCTGGTGAAAGAAACGGGCCTGAAAAGCTGATTATATTGACTTCAGTCCATCGTATAGGACAACAGGACCGAGGTGTTGGTACAGAACCTTCACCTCCCATCAGAATCTGGAGGAAATACACTGAAAGCACTTAAAACACATGGGCTTGAGTAAGGATTTTGCTTCAGCTCTTGGTCCACCTGCAAAAGAAGAAGGGACATTGTTAAAGTTACAGTCACACCAGCCCCACCATGGCTTTTGTCTCCTTTACATGGAAGGAAAAGGACATGGAGGATGGTGCAGAGCGTGTCTTTGGTACCAGTGATGTGCAAGCACACTGCTGTGATGGGTTCCATGTAGCCTTATCTTGGTTTAAGGATGTTCTCTGGTGGTTCTTTTGGTCTTCAGCTTGGTCTTGCAGAGGTGCAGGCTTGGGCCCTGTTCACCAGCTTTATGGCATAGAAGGCAAGGGGTGGTGGAGGCAAGAAATGCTTGGGTTGGGAAGGAAGAGGCTACCCAAGGGAGAGCCATTGAGGTGGCATTGGCAGGACTGTGGTGGCATCTGCAAGGGTGGCAGCAACCTGCCCATAGCCCAAGGGAGTTAAAGGATGGTCAGCATTACCTTGACCACGGAGCAGGTCCTCTTGGACATGGATGATGCAAAGGTGGTTGGGAATGGGCAGCATGGATTTACCATGGGAGTCAAGGTTGACCAACCCGATTGCTCATGGTGGTCTGCCTTGACCCTAGCAAGGTGTTTGATGTACCTTACGTGGCATCCTTGTGTCCAAGTTGGACATTAGAGTCTAGACAAGGACACTAATAGGTGGGTACAAAAACTGGATCGTCAGGCTCAGAGGGTGCTGGTTGATGGCTTAGAATCATAGAATAGTTAGGGTTGGAAAGGACCTTAAGATCATCAAGTTCCAACCCCCTGCCATGGGCAGGGACACCTCGCTCTAAACCATATCACCCAAGGCCTCGTCCAACCTGGCCTTGAACACTGCCAGGGATGGAGCATTCACAACCTTACTGGGCAACCCATTCCAGTGCCTCCCCACCCTAACAGGAAAGAATTTCCTCCTTAGATCCAATCTAAACTTCCCCTGTTTCAGTTTTAACCCATTACCCCTTGTCCTGTCACTACAGTAAAGTTGTCTTGCACCCACCCTGATGCTTGGCTGTGATGGAAACTGCTCCCAGGCCCATCCTGGACCCTCTCCTCTTCCATATCCTTATCAATAACCTGCAGAGGAGACAGAAGCCACCCTTGTCTGCAGATGAGCTGCTTGGTTTGAGGGCAGGGCCGGTGGTCAGAGGACAGGCTGGGAAGAACCCCCTGGAGCTCAGCAAGGCCACGTGGAGCAGTTGGGATGGACTGACCCGCTCTGGGCAGTGGATGGGTACCGGTTCCGAGGACCCAGGAGGCTTGGGGAGCTCTATGCTCAATGAGGGTGAAGAGCATGCATTGGTAGGAAGGGAGGCTGGTGGCATCCAGCAGACCCACAGCCTGTAGATCAAGGGATGCCACCACCATTCCCATAGGTCAAGGGAAGCAATTATTCTCCATTAGATCACAGTTTTGGGTTCTCCAGGACAAGAAAAGCTTGATGAACCGCAGTGAGACACCAGGGTGGTCAGGGGCTGGAGAACAGGATGTGTGAGGAGAACAGGAGGGACCTGATGTGATTTCTCCTGGAGGAGAGAAGGTTTTAGGGACACCTCAGGGCACCCTTCAACGTGACTGCAGCATTGCCATAGCAGGACCAGCTGACTTGTTGGTTAGAACAGGCTTTGCTCCAACGTCAGCAACTTGGAGACCAGGAACCAAACGTGGGTCTGCAGAACATCTTCAGTTATTGATGGAGAAGGAGAACATCCATGAGCATCTATCACCTTTGTCCTCCAGAACGGGTTGGGTGGGAGAGTCACCAGGTCCCTCATTGTCTCCTGCTTGTGGTCTTTCATAGGATCCCAGCCTGGGTTGGGTTGAAGGGACCTTAAAGCCCTTCCAGCTCCAACCCCTTCCATGGGCAGGGACCCCTTCCACTGGAGCAGGGTGCTCCAAGCCCCTGTGTCCAACCTGGCCTTGAGCCCTGCCAGGGATGGGGCAGCCACAGCTTCTCTGGATGCATCTTCCCAACATGAACCAGACCTCATGCTGGACACAGGTCTTAGTCTTGGCACTCTACGTGTTGTGACCTCGTGGCATCTTCTTGCTCAAAACTTGCTGAAATCACCCCAAAAATCTGGCTATTGAACTTCCTGCCCCTCCAGGTGCCTTTTCCATGTTTGTCCAAGCGGTGTGCTCATATAGGGTGTCTCTTGGAGCTGGTTGGTCGCTGTTGGTGTTGTGGCCTTCTCCCATGAAGGTTCTGTAGGCTCAGGTGTAGCCAGCTGCAACGTGTCAATGAAAATGGGCCAAAAAAGGGCTTTTCTGGTGGTCATCATCTCTGCCCATGTTGGCTCTGACCATGAGAGGAGCGAGAGCGATGCTCAAGGCATGAGGAAAGGCTTCACTTGGGCAAGACCATGGCAGGGACAAAGCTATGGGATGTTTGGGATCTGTGCAAGCCCATCTAGAGCCATTCTTCACCAAAAAGCATGGCTTAAGGGAGAACATGGTGTTTGCAGGGTGTGAAGTGAAGAGAGCATGGTCATCCTCTGCCCCATAACTGATAAACGACCCCGAGCTTGATGGGGTTTGATGAAAGGAGGTCCTGAGTGCAGAGCCCAGGCTGGTGGGACCAAGATCCCACCTCTATGGATGGATCTCCATCCATCCTAGAGCAAAGGAGACTTTGCTAAGGGCACGTGGGCGTTGTGGTCACTGTTGGTAACTCCCTGTCCACTCTTCCTGTGTTGCAGCTCGTCACCCTCTGGAGTGTTTGAGAAGGAATACGACATCTATCGGGATTACAGTGCGGAAGGTCAACTCCTTCACTACAGGTAGTCAGGGTTGGGTGAGGTGGGATGTGGGACAAGCCATGGTTGATGTGCGGAAATGGGGCAGTGACACCGATGTCTTTGTGCTCTGCTGATCCTCCACATCCCCTTCCCATCGTGTGCTGATGTTTTGTAGCTTTAGCACAACCCTTAAATAAACCCTAAGGTGTCTTTTGATGGTTCTTTGGAGCAGGAACCCTCCATCCTCTATGTGGTGGTCTTCTTTTGAGTGCATCCTACCCATGACCACAAACTGGAGCAGGACAAGAGGAGCACACAGGGATGTCAACCTGGTCGACCTCGTAGTCTGTGGGTGTTCAATAGGCTCCACCATTAGGACAGGACTTTTAGGGATGGTCCAAAACGTTCCATCACATCTACGGCAACCAGTTTCTAGGCTCTTTCCCACAGGCTTTGCATTGCCTAGAAGCAGGTTCATGGGGGTATGGATTTCATCCATCACTGCAGCAAGCCCAAGTGGTTCAATGCACTGTCTCCATAGGGCAGCTCCATGCCTAAAGGGGCTGCAGGAAACCTGGAGAGGGGCTTGGGATGAGGGATGCAGGGATGGGATGAGGAGAAACGGCTCCAGCTGGAAGAGGCAGGAATTAGATGGGATCTTGGGATGAAGTTCTTCATCATGAGGGTGGTGGGACACTGGAAGGGGTTGGAAGGAGAAGCTGTGGCTGCCCCATCCCTGGCAGTGCTCAAGGCCAGGTTGGACACAGGGGCTTGGAGCACCCTGCTCCAGTGGAAGGAGTCTCTGCCTGTGTCAGGCCTTGTGGATGGGCTTTAAGGTCCCTTCCAACCCAAACCAAGCTGAGTCCATGTTTCTCTGCTCATCAACCCCAAGTGCAGCTTTGGGGTGCAGCTGCCTGGGTCCCCAGCAGCACCTTCAGGAGCAGGTGAGGATTTCTCCTCTCCTTGGTGCTCTGGGACCACAACTGCTGAGATCTCCCGATGGAATGAAGATTAAGGGTGTCGTTAAGAGGATGAACTCTTGCTCCATCTGTCTCGGAGGCATTTGCCTCCAAATCCCATGAAGACAGGCAATCAGCATGAACCTTTTTAACCCTTTCCTCTTCATTCCTTCTGCTTGGTGGTCCCTGGAGCCTGGTTCCTTGCTGGCCTCGTTTTTCCTCCTATGGCTCTGGTGGGAAGGTTGAACTCTGCTGATCCATGCCTGTTTGTGGGATGAATCCCACCTTTCCTGTCGTTATCCTGCATTGGTGTTGGCCAGTCAATGGGTGAAGGGTCCAAAGCTGCTGGAGATGCACTTTAGGACCTCTGAATGTCTCCTCTCCCAGGACACAGCTCCTGAGAGCCTCTTAGATCCATGTTCCCAATGGGGTGGAGGTCCTGGACTGCATAGACTCATCATAGACTCATAGAACAGTGAGGGATGGACCGGACCTTAGGATCATCCAGTTCCAACCCCCTGCCATGCAGGTGCTCAGGGCTCTGTGGCCACCAGTTTGATGGCAGAGCTTCCTGATGGAGGGAACTGCAGTGTTGGACATGGAGCAGCAAAGCATTAACAACCTTCTGTGCTTCTGCTCCCTGGGAAACGGGAGGTTCCTGGGATCATGGAACCAATGGGGTTGGGAAAAGCCCTTTAGGATCATCAAATCCAACCATTCCCAGCACTGCCAAGGCCACCACTGACCCATGGCACTGAGGCCTCGTCTCCACGCTGTGTGAACACTTGCAGGGACGGTGCCTGCAGCCCTGCCCTGGGCAGCCTGTTCCAATGCCTGAGCACCCTCTGGGGCAGGAATTGTTCCTCAGCTCCATCTAAACCTGCCCTGGTGCAGCTTGAGGCCGGTTCCTCTTGTCCCATCCCTTGTTCCTTGGGAGCAGAGCCCAGCCCCTCCTGGCTCCATCCTCCTCTCAGGCACTTGTAGGGAGCCATCAGGTCCCCCCTGAGCCTTGTCTTCTCCATCTGAACCCCCCAGGTCCCTCAGCCCTTCCCCATCACCCCTGTGCTCCAGGCCCTGCACCAGCTCCATTGCCCCAAAGGAGCTGGGGCTGAGCAGGGGCTGCAGCGCTGCAGCTCCCATGGGATGGGTTTGCTCCTGGAGCCCCCCTGCACTGCCAGGGCTGGAGCATGGATGTAGGGATGGAGCGAGGCAGGAGCTGCGGCAGCATCAGCATGGGGAGACCTGAGAGCAGCTCCAGTGCTAGGAGGGGCTGCAGGGAGCATGGAGAGGGGCTTGGGATGAAGGATGCAGGGACAGGACAAGGGTCCTGTCAGGGCAAAGATGTCCCTGCCCATGGCAGGGGTTGGAGCTGGGTGAGCCTTGAGGTCCCTTCCAACCCACCCCATTCCAGGATTCCATGATCCAACCTCACACCCAGTTGATGTGAAATCCACTTGGGCATGATGAGCTCAAACCCACCCTTGTAGGAGCTTGTTGTGCCGATGGAGAGAGACCAAGCAACCGTGTCCCCTGCTGGGCTGCTCGTTGGGGACGTGGCCCTCCTGGTCCCATTGTGCTCCACAGCTCATTCATTCCAACAGTCAAGGCTGCTCCATGCTCCGTGTTCCCTCCTCCCTCTGAAGAAGAGGAGGGTCTCATCCTGTTCATCCATTGGGCAACGCAATGGTTACTTGGAGAGAGGTGGGAGGGCCAAGACCAAGCTCCCAACCTCTGCATTGATCCCAGTGATGCTAAACTGGTTTCTGTGGTCAAATTCCTGTCCGAGCAATGATCTGGATGGGGAAGGAGAGAGCTGAGCCGGAGGGAACGGGCTGCCTTGGGAGCTCGCTTTGATCCCACCTCTGAGATGGGGACACCAGCCCTGGCTGCCTCCTGGGGAGCTGCCTCAGCTTCCCCCATGCATCTGTGCCCATCCGTGCTGCGTCTGACACCGACACCGGGATGGGCTGTGCTGGGCATCTGCCAGCTTGGCACACCCGGAGCTTGTGCTTCCTCTTTGGGGTTCCTGAGGAGCCTTGTTCCTTGAGACCTTCATGATCCAAACCAAGGGGAGACCTGAGAGCAGCTCCAATGCCTAAAGGGGCTGCAGGGGACATGGAGAGGGGCTTGGGACAAGGGCCTGTAGGGACAGGCCAAGGGGAATGGCTTGAACCTGCCCGAGGGGAGACTGAGCTGAGCTCTTAGGCAGAAGCTCTTCCCTGTGAGGGTGCTGAGGCGCTGGCACAGGGTGCCCAGAGAAGCTGTGGCTGCCCCATCCCTGGCAGTGCTCAAGGACACAGGGGCTTGGAGCACCCTGCTCCAGTGGGAGGGGTCCCTGTACATTGAACTGGAGGAGCTTTAAGTTCCCTCCCAACCCAAACCAGTCTGGGATACTGGGATTCACCGATGAGGTACATGGGAAGGGTGAGAGGGGATGCACAGCTACAGCGCTGTGGTCATTTGCAAGGCCTTTGCTTGAGGCTGCTCCCTTGGAGATGCTGAGAGGTGTCCGTGCCTTAAGAGCTCAGATTTGCTTGGGGGGTGAATGAGGGTGCTCTGGGTGACCTCCAGGGCTCTGCTCCACCTGAAATAGCATAAAACCAGGGGAATACAGCGCTGGGTTATAATCTTGTTCTGCAAGCTTTCCATCTCCCATCTGGGGTAAGCTGCTCCAGCGGAAGGTGTTGGGGTTGGAGCTGGATGAGCTTTAAGGTCCCTCCCAACCCGTTCCATGATCCTATGATGAGAACACGACACAAAGCAAGCCCAAGGCTGCTCCCTGCTGTGCCAGGCTGGTTTTACACCAGCTCTGGATAACCAGGATCACCCAGCCCAAGCCACGGCTCAGCTCTCTCCTTCCCCATTCAGATCATTGCTCGGACAGGAATTTGACCACAGAAACCAGTTTAGCATCACTGGGGTCAATGCAGAGGTTGGGAGCTTGGTCTTGACCATCCCACCTCTCTCCAAATAACCATTGCGTTGCCCAAACAACGCAGATTCCATCTCAACCACGCTGGTTCCAGTAGGAATTGGGTTGGACCAGTTTGAAGGTTTCATATGAAATGAAATCCTAGAAGAACATGGGATTTCCAGGCTTGCAGATGAAGATGGGAACAGAGATTGCAAGTGTCGGTGTCCCTGCCCATGGCAGGGGGTTGGACCTGGGTGATCTTAAGGTGCTTTCCAACCCAAACCCTTCCATGGTTGATTCTGGAAGGGTTGGACATGTCATGGTGAGGTTGTGGCCACCACTGGTGACCCCTAATCTCATACAAGCTGTGAGAAATCAGTGTTTGAGCATGAACTTAACATTTTAGGGACAATTTAAGCTCTGGGGTATTTATATTTGCTTAAAGCCTGTGATTTTCTGCATACAAATCGTGGGGACCATCAGTATTTGGAGAAGAGCAGTGAAGTCTTAGGGATGGTGGGGTTTAATCTGTCTTCATCCCCCTAATTTAGTCATAAATTGTTCCTAATTCGTAAAATTCATACTTTTATTACAAAGTTGAGTTTTCTGCTGGGTTTTGCAGGATAATAAATCCCGAATGGTCCTCCTAAGGGCAGTTTCCTAGATGGAAAATTGAGGAGGGATCATCCCAGGCTTCAGTCTGAAGCTTGAACATCTTGCTGCGGAGGCTCTTCCCATGTTCCCACTTTTCCCTATGCTATCTGGGGGAAGATACTGGTGTTGCTGGAGTGGCCTCAGGCACCGCGCCAGGCACATGGAGGTTTTCCTGCTGTCGGGATCGCTGATCCCCATTTTCACAGCGGGATGAGGTTTTCCTGCTGTCGGGATCGCTGATCCCCAGTTTCACAGCGGGATGAGGTTTTCCTGCTGTCGGGATCGCTGATCCCCAGTTTCACAGCGGGATGAGGTTTTCCTGCTGTCGGGATCGCTGATCCCCATTTTCACAGCGGGATGCTGATGGGAACGGTGGCCTCCCATTGCCGGCTGTGGCAGTGGTACCCAGATGGGAGGAAACGGGGCTGGGCTGCATCCTTCATCCTCATCCCTCATCCTTCATCCTTCATCCCTCATCGCATCCCCGGGGGATCACAGTCAGTCCCGTTTATCAC